GTGAGGAAGACAAGGAGATGACTGCAATATGGCGCTCTTATTGTGAGTCGGGCTAGGAGATGGAAACAAGGAAACGAATTGTTGCGATCCAGAGAAGAACGTAGAAAGAGCCACATGGTATTCGAGGTTCTTTGGGAGCCAACATACAATGACACACAGCCAGCTGGGGCACTGAGTAGTCTGATCAATTCCAAGGGCCCCACCCCCACCCCGAGGCTCCCAGCTATAGCACTGTGATTTGGGTCCAGATCCCGTTGCGGCTCAGGGAAATGACTTCACCTCTCTGAACCTGTTTCTCCAGTGGAGTGGAGAAACTACTCCACTGTAGTGGAAAAATCTAATTTAGCAATTAGATTAGCATGGGAAGCTGAATACAAAGTTTGGCACATAGTAGGCACTTCCTTACCCTCCCAGAGTCCCAGGGCCACCCATCCACATTGCCAATTTTTCTTTGAAGATAAACTGATTAAAACCAAACTTAGCTTAAAGCCAAACTACACTCTTTAGAGTTGTATTCTTGTAGAAGAATACCAGAAAATTACCCAAATGCCTAAAATAACCGAATTGTACCAAAATGGTCAACATACATTCCCCACTAGAACAGAACCTCCCTGAAGGCAGACAAAGCATTACTCATTTTTGCATCTCTCCCTTGTACCGAGCATAATGGACACGTCCCCCCACCCTAGTTTTATTGAAATATAATTAACACACAGTACTACATAAGTTTAAGATATACAGCATAATAACCTGACTTACATATATTGTGACATGATTACCTCAGTAAGTTTAGTAAACATCTATTATCTCATGCAGATACACACACAGAAAGGAAAAAAAAGTTTTTTCCTTGTGATGAGGACTCAGAATTTACTCTCTTAACAACTTTCCAATATACCACACAGCAGTGTTAACTACAGTCATCATGTTGTGCGTTACATCCCCAGTACTTATTTATCTTATAACTGGAAGTTTGTACCTGTGACCATCCTCCTCCAGTTCCCCCTCCTGTCCACCTCTGGTGACGGCAAGTCTGATCTCTTTTTCTATGTTTGTTTTTTGTTTTTAGATTCCACGCGTAAGTGAGATCATACTGTATATGTCTCTGTCTGACTTATTTCATTGAGCATAATGCCCTCAAGTTCTATCCACATTGTTGCAAATGGCAGGATTTTCTTCTTTTTATGGCTGAATAGTATTCCCTTGTGTATACATATATGTACCACAACTTCTTTATTCATTCATCCCTTGAAGGACACTTAGGCTGTTTCTGTGTCTTGGTTCTTCTCAATAATGCTGCTATGAACATGGGGGTATAGATATCTCTTGACATAGTCAGTGTTTTCGTTTCCTTTGGATATATTCCCAGAAGTGGAATTGCTGGATCACATGCTAGTTATATGTTTAATGTTTTGAGGCGCCTCCATACTGTTTTTCATAGTAGCTGTACCAGTTTACAATCCCACCAGCAGTCCACAAAGGCTTTCCTTTATCTGCATCCTCTCCAGCATTTGTTATCTCTTGTCTTTTTCATGATAGCCATTCTTACAGATGCGAAGTGACGGTCACTGTGGTTTTGACTTGCATTTTCCTAATGATTAGTGATGTTGAGCATCTTTTCATATAACTACTGGCCATTTGCATATCTTCTTTGAATAAATATCTGTTCAGGTCCTTTGCCCATTTTTAAATTGGATTATTTGGGTTTTTGCTATTGAGTTGTATAAGTTCTTTATATATTTTGGACATGAACTGCTTATTAGATATCTGGTCTGTAAAAATTTTTTCCCTTTCTATAGGTTGCTTTTTTCATTTTGTCAATCATTTCTTTTGCTGTGCGGAAGCTTTTAGTTTGATGTAGTCCCACTTATTTAGTTGCTTGTGTTTTGGATGTCATATCCAAAAAATTTATTGAGGAGCTTTTTCTTATGTTTTCTTCTAGGAGTTTTGTGGTTTCCAGTCTCACATTTAAGTTCTTAATCTATTTTCAAGTTAATTTTTGGGAGTGGTATAAGGTTGGGGTTTATAATGGATGCCTTTTATAGATTTTTAAACTGAATATATGAACGGATCAAAGGATAGATGAGGCCCCAGAAAGAACACTGAAAATAAGAGATCAATTTGGCAAGACATACTCCCGGCAGAGACTCCAGTGGGTTCAGAGGTCAGCCAAGGACAAGCAGTGAGGGCCAAACGTGTGCCCAACATAGGGGCTAGAAGGCAGGGCACACTGGAAGAGACAGTGGGCAATGGGACTACTTCATTTGTTGACTGAAAAAATGGCCGTTAACCCTGTGGTAGACACAGAAAACTTGCTCTCAGGGAGCTGATATCGAGGTATCACGTGTGAGAACAGCAGTGGCCCCCTGGAGAAACCTGGATGATGCACCCCCATGGGTGTATCTTCCTGCTACTGTACTTGTAATAATAATATTAATTGCAGTAACAGCTGCGGTCATTTATAGAGAACCGACTATATTCGTCAAGACCCTTTCAGTTGTAAGTAATAGAAACAACTGGAACCGGCTTAAGCAAATAAAAAGGGAATTTTTGGTTTATGTATTAATTTCTAAAAATACCAGGGGTGAACTAGCTTCTGGCGTGACTGGGTCCAAGACCGCCAAAGACATCATCAGGACTGTGCGTCCCGCTCCGTCTCTTGGCCTTGCCTCCTTCTGCCTCCACTCTTCTGACTTCATTCTCAAATGGCCACCTAGTAAAACTGGCCTCTGGTAGCTCCAGGCTAATGATCTCAGGAGAGAGGACGCGCCTCTCTCTGTATCGTTCTGGAAACTTCAAGGCACCGGTAGAGGGACCACTCCAACTTCAGTCTCATGCCCAGGCCTGAACCAATACTTGTGGTCAATATTGGGATGTGCTGAGTGGCCTGGGCCTGGTCGTAGGTGTGAGAATGCGGTGGGGTACGGGACAGCCCCGTTTACCCAGAAGGGGCTGAGCGTGGAGGAGGGTGGTTTCCAAAAGAAAGCAGGGCTGGAATTAGGCTGCCTCAACCATACCCCACACTTACTGTGCACCAGGCACAACATTAAATTTCAGTTAAGCCTCCCAACGGTCCTGTGTGGCGAGGCCAATCTGAGCCCCACTTACAGATGTGGAAACTGGCTCCAAGAGGCTGAGGACCTTGCAAGGGTCACATACCTCACAAGTGGAGGATTAAGGAGCATGGATTATTTGGTATCAGGCAGAGACATTAATGGGGGAGGCCACAGCCTCTGAAATACAGTGGGAGGTCAGGGGGGATTTCACTGATTAGACCTAGTGAATGGAGGGGGACAGATAAATGGGAATAATCTGATGAACGTGGCACTATCCTCGTCTCGTATCCATCCCCCATCCCCATGGCAGTGACATGTCATGCATCTATCCATTTGTTCAATGTTCTCTGAAGCAGGTAGTACAGACCCAGGAACCAGAATGCCTGGGTTCCCTAGGAAACGGAGCCTTTGGCAAGGGATTAAGTGCTGATACTTAAACTTGTAGGTGGAATTCCAGGGCAGTAAGGCTGAAGGAAGAGGAAGGTGGGAAAGCAATGCAAGATGATGTATAACCACACTGCCACTGCTTTACAACAAACCACATGTGGAAAATGCACCTCAAAGTGTCCAAGGGAGGGACGAGAAGGAATTCATCCTCCCACCTCGTCTCCTACTACTCAAAGTTTGTCCTGAGAATTACTCCCTCCATGTTCTGGGTTGAGTTCTCCAGCACCTTTGGCGGCCGTTCAGGAATCAGACCCCTTACCCAGGGATGGGGTCTGGGAGGGGTCAACCTCGGGGAAGGCAGCTGGTCAGCTTCAGTTGTGGATCTGTGAGGACCCCTTTGAGTCCTGCAGCCACAGAGGTGGAACAAGCAGCAGTCTGGTGGACAGGGCCACTGAGAGAATCTTTAGAGGGACACCAGCTCTGTGACTTGACTTCTCCATGCCTCAGTTTCCCTTGCAGTACATCCTTTAGAATTGGGAGGGTTTGCAATAATGCATGTAAAGCACTTAGTAGTGTCTGGCCCCTAGATGAACTGGGCTGGCCATCTTGATTTTGCCTGGGGGACCTTGGGGGTGCTGTCCTGGCTAAGTTATGTTAACCTGGACTCTTTCCACTGCAAGCTGGCTCAAATGAAGGAAAGGATGGCTCACAAAACTGGAAGGCCTGGAATTGCATCTGGCTTCAGCACAGTTGGGCCCAGGGGTGACTGAGTCCCAAGGGATATGGCCCATGCTGAGTTCACAACACCAGCCCTGGGGAAACACTCCCGTTGATCTCTAAGGGCTGACCTCGGCACAGAGACCAAGCAGATCTGGCTGAAGTGTCTGTGAAATGAGAGGCTGGACTAAATTGGGGTTACCAACTTGACATCCTCTGGACTTCTGGGATGGGTCCATGATGTGTTGGTCCCAAGCCAAAACACAAACAAAAAGCAGATCTCTATTTTGGCTGCAGTGATCTCAACTCCATGTCTTCATAAGAGCTTGCTCACAGTGATTGTGAGCTCAGATAGGTGGTTCTGAGTATTTACCAGTTTGAGAAATACATGTGGGGAGGTGGGCTCTGGCTTCATGATGCAGTCTGTTTAGTATATATACTTTTTTTAAACCGTGGTATCCACAGGGGAAAAACGACTGACATCGGTCCAGGGGGATGAAAAGGGGAGGACTGTGGCTGCAGCTCATCTTGACAGTCCCTCTCAGCAACTAAGTTCTTAGACCCCAGGATTCCATAAGCTCCCTCCAAGTGGTCCCCAGAGGCCCTTTATTACGGAACACCCAGACACGATGCCCCACTTCCCTAGCCACGTAACTGCCCCTACTGTGTTTTCCAGTGCAAGCCATCAGCTGTGTGACCTTGGACAAGTCATTCTACCTCTCTCAACCTGTTTCCTCAACTGTCAAATGAGACTGGTGTCTGGGCACAAAAGTCGAAACAGATGTCCACACGAAGACTTGCACGTAAATGTCCAAAACAGCTTTATTCGTAATAGCCAAAATCTGGAAACAGCCCACATGTTCTTCTGATAAATCTTCTGATAAGCAAACCATGGTACATCCATACAATGGAACGCTACATGGCAATAAAAAGGAACATGGATGAATCTCAAAACCATGCTGAATAAAAGAAGCCAGACACAACAGAGCACATGCCATGTATATATAGAATTCTAGAAAATGAATCTCTAGAACAAAGGCAAGGCAGGTCAGCGGTTGTCTGAGGTTGGGGAAATGGGCCATAAAGGGTAATGACAGAACTTGAAATGTTCTTGAGGGTGGTGGTAGGTACGAGGGTATACGTGCTTGACAAAAATTCTGAATTGAACACTTAAAATAGGTGGATTTTATTGCACGGAAAGTATAACTCAAAGTTGATTTTTTTAAAACAGATTAAAAAAAATCATAACCATTGCCTTTATCAGGACCCTTTCTATGACAGAAACCCAACTCAGGGTAGTCTTAGGAAAAAAAGAACTTCATTGGCTCATATAAGCAGGTTAGTCCAGGGGTGCAGTTGGCTTCAGGCATGGCTGCGTTCAGGGCCTTATTGATGTCTGGATAGCATATGCCCACTTTCTCTTAGCTCTTTCCTTCTTGTTAGCTTCCACGAGGAGAGAACAGGATGGCCATCAGTAGTTCCAAGCTTATATATCCTGTCAACCCCCACAAAAAGCGAATGTCTCTTTCCTCTGAGCTGCTGCAGAAGACCCATGGGGGAGTCAGTATCCAGCCTGGGAAACATGTCTGCCTCTAAAGCCAGGGGGTGGTGGTGGCTCCACCTAAACCCCAGGGGGTACAAAGTGAAGGAGGGGTGGTCCCCTGAAAGAAAAAGACAGGTCTTATCAAAAGGGTCATGGATGTTGGGTAGGAAAAGCCAACAAATACCCATCACCTCTCTCCACACACCCAGGGGCACTGTTATCACCCATTCCTACCTCCAGAAACCTCCGCAGTGGCCAGGTCATCAGGGACAGGCCCTAAACTTATTCGAGGTCTCCGGCTGCTTTTCTGGGCCGTCACAGGCTCGCAGCCTGTTAGACACAAGAGTCAAAATAGAGAGTTAAGTGCTAATCTTTTCCCCACCAGCCAAGCCAAACAGAAAGCCCTTCCTGCCTGTGCTGGGCTGTCTGTACCCCAAGGAGGCGGGCGGGTGGAGGGGAAAGGAGCTTTGGAGCAGCTTCTCTGGCCCAGGCCCAGAGGGAACGCCTTGGAGCTGACAGTGTCGGGGCTTGCAGGGTGAACCTTGAGGGAAGAAAGGCTGCGTCCATGGGCCAGGCCTGAGAGGGCTGCCGGACAAAGGGGTGAGGGCTGTAGCTTCTCAGACCAGAACTACCCTCTCAACAGGGTCCAGCCAGAGACTGAAAGGTGGTCCCTGCAGAGATGAAGGATGGGAAGGTACCATCCAACACGCTGAAACCCAAACCTCACTTCCCGAGGAGTGCAGTGCAACAAGCATTAAATGAGCATCTTCTGCACACCAGACACCACTCAGCGTTTTCTGTTGAAGTGTCCTCCCGGGAGGGGAGGGAAAGGGAGTGGCAGCCTCATATCTATATTCAGAATAAGCCTACAATGTAGATACTAATGTGTCCAAACAAATGAGGCAACAGGCTCAGAGAGGTGGGGGCCCACAAAGCCCCCAGCTAAGTGGCTACTCTTAATCAGACTCCTGGGTAAAGGCTAGTTCCCCACTCCCTCCAGCCCCAAGGCTGGGAGCTCAAGCTCCTGCCTCAGCCTGATTGCTCAAGGCTGCTAGTTGAGCTGAGGTCCATTCCAACCTAGGTAAGCCAAGGCAGTTGAGGACTATCTCCCAACCCAGCTCCCCAAGGACTACGGGCTACAAAAGCCTGAGCGGAGGCCTGTTTCCCACCGTAGCTGAGTTGGCCTGCCTAGCCATCCTGCTTTCTGGGAAGCAGGTTAAATGGATGCCGTTGCCAAGAGTGCATTCTGCTGCAGAGAGATGGGCGGGGAGCCGGGCAAGAGCCAGACAGAGGAAGGAGAGCTGAGGCCTTGCCTGCCAAAGGAAGCCTGTGGGCCTGGCCCAGCGCTGCTGGGCTCTGGGAAAGGGGTGTTCTCGGCTCCCAGTTCGCATCTCCACCCGCCATGGCAGAGGCAGGCTGGCCCTCGAGCTCTGCAGACTGGACGGGGAACAGATGACTGCTTCCTGGAGCTGACAATGCGCCTGCCTATTAGTTCCCTGCACTGGCATCTTGCCCAGGCGGCCCCTGGGCCAGGCCCTCAGCGTCCAGCTCTGAAGCAAAGAGGGAGGGGCAGGTACAGCGTTCTGGAGACGGGGGCACCCCAGCAGGGCTCCTGACCCCAAAGGGCCAGCAGCTCGGAGCATGGCCCAGAAGAGCAAGCCCCGTGCAGGCTGTGGTTCTTCCTGGATGCCTCTGTCCAGGTAAGGAGCAGAGAACCTTACTGTGTGACCTGAGCCACATGCCTCTTGCATGTTCTGGAAATGGGGCTAAGCCCTGCCCAGAGCTAGGATCCTTGGCAGTACAGCGGGCTGCGTGGGGCAGGCTGTGGGTCCAGGCTGGCCGGGTGCACACTCAGTATTGGGGAAATTAAGGGACAAAAACCCAGCCTCCCTATGGGGCAGAGATCTCCTCCATGAGATAGTAATACCCACCCAGCACAGGTGTGATGAGGAAACACTTTACAAGTCAGCATGATGCTATGCTTGTTATAACTATTTATGCTAATAAATACTTATTACAGCAAGAGCACTGACCGTGGGGTCAGGAGCTACGGCTCTAACCCCCAGCTTCTGCCACATCCTAGGGTGTCCTCGGGTGAGTCTCCTGATCTCCTTGGCCTCGGTCCCCCGCCTGTAAAATGAGGATCAAAAGATGACTCTGAGCAGTAGAGACAATGAAAGGAAGTGAAAACCTGCCAACTGCAAATGGTCACATCGCCTGGTAGGCTCTGAAGGCAGAGCTTGAAGAAATCTCTTCCATCTCTAACTTGTGGGCATGTAGCAGGTAGTTCTCTGATTAACAGAATCACCTGAGGAATGTAAGAAAAACAAAAAGATACCAATCCTTGGGTCCCCCCACAACCCCCAGCAATCCAGATCCAGTTAGTCTGGGGTGGGCCCCAAGCATTTAAAGTTTTTCAACGCTCTCCAAATGATTTTTAGGTGACCAGGGTTGACAGGCTATGCAGCAGCCCACTTAGAAATCAATCAGGACAGAGCCCGCATTTCTAGCATCCTCCGCCAACAACTCCATCCATCTGTTTGGAGACAGACCCAGTGCTGCTCCGAAACCCTCCAACCAAGGTCTCAGAGCTTCCTGGCTGGAGGTGAGCTACAGCCCACGGTACATCCCACTTGACTAAAAGAAAATAGAGACTTTCTGGCTCCTGAGGGCACAGAGCCATCGTTCAAATGGGTTATGAGCCTCGCCCGTTTTAAAAGCCCCAACCTTGCTGAGAGTGGGAGGTGTACATGCACAGGGGAAGAAAAAAATGCTGGAAGGATATATTTCATTAGCAGACGTTATCGGCCGTTACGGGCATTTGTAAGCCTTTTTCATCTTTCTGTATTTTCAAAATGCTCTACAATGGAAGGCAGTTCTTTTATAACTGAGGGGAAAAACAGTATTCTGTTTTATTTTTGATGTGTTTATTGCCTTTAAAAAATTGATGTGTCATCTTTTGCAAATATTTTGGGGTAAAGATTGAGAAATACAATCAGTAACAAGGAGTTTTGGGGGTATGGAAGGGCAGGGCAAAGGGGCCTCAGGTATCGATTTGAAGTAGCAAATGCTTAGCTGATGGATGGAATGTGTTGTATCACCCCTTGTCCACTGTAAATGGTGAGAATATCATTTCAGGACAGCCCCACCTACCTCTTTCAAAGGAGGGATAAACATCACTCCCCCACACCCCTTGTTCATCTTTACCTTGGCGCTGCCCCTTCCCCGGGGCAGAAAAACGCTGAAGCTCCGGGGCAAACCCAGCCCCTTAGAAACTGTCTGTGGGAGCACTGGTGTGGAGGTACAGCTGGGACGGCCAGAGCCCAAGGAGCAAGGGGTCTGGCTGGCCAGGAATGAGGATCGTGGTGGTCAGGGTCGCACATATGACCATCTTCTTGAGTGATGAGAGCTTTTGAGTCAGCACCTGGGAGGGAACCTGAGAAAAACCTCGAGGATAAATTTCCCCTGTTGACCTGGGAGGTCTATGAGAAAAGAGGTGAGTTTTGCTGCCTGTTCACTGCCCCGTCTGTCTGTCCACAGGCAGGCCACCTCAGCTAGAGAGGAAAATTCTGTCGCTGTGTCCCAAATTGGTATTTCTGCTTCTTGGCAATCCCCCAAGAACCCCAAATCCACCCAAGATGAGGCTTTGGCTCAGCCAAAGTATCTGTGGGGCAAGGATGGAAAAGTTAGGGGTGAGGGCACCTGCTGAGAATGGAGAAGACTCAGGAACCGAAATAGGGATAGAAAACAGCCAAGAGGAGGCGAGCTCTAGGGTCACAGTGGGGTAAAGACCCTGAACCCACTGCAAGCATATCTGCAAGATGGCCAGTTCACTGGGTCTCAGAGAGCCGACTGAGGCTCTTTCTGTTTTCAAACACAGTGCAAGTTCCTACCCGGGTGCCCCTAAATGGTTCCAGCTTCTCAGGAAAGGTGGGGCACCCAGGCCAGCCCAACACTCTTGCCCTTGACATAAAACACAAGGAAGCCACACTTCCTTGTGCCCTGCACGTGCAGCTGGCTCTTCCGAACCTTCACTGAACACAAACCAGGGAGATGCTGTCTTTTCCTGGGCTCCAATCCACGCAGGAATAGCTTGATGCCCAGCCCTTCCCAATCCACCACCAAGAAAATCATAAAAATATATGCAATGCTTTGGCCCCACAAAATTGTTTTAATAATCAGCAAGTCCCCATTCACTCTCATTTCAGGAGGATGAGGGAGGACAGCCCACTTGGATCCCAGGAAGCCCTTCCCATCCCATAGCGGTCAAGTGCAAGACGGGTGGAAGACGGTGGAGCCGCTGCCCGATGCCCACTGCAAGAGCAATAAGGATTTTTAGGGGCATTATGACTGAGTCAGAAAACACAGCTGCCCCTGAAAGTCCCTCATTTTTCTTGCTCTCCTTGAACACGCTCCAGGTGAGTCAGCAGTCAACCGGCTGGCCTAGGTGAGTAGAGATGGTGTCGCCTCACTCGACGCTGGCCCACCTCCCCCCAGCCCAGGGAAAGCTCTGTGGTTGATGGGTGGCTGAGGGGGTCTCCACAACAGCACAATTCTCCCCAGTGCTAGGTCTGGCCAATGGCTGGCCTCCCTGCCCCCAGGGCTCACCCAGGAATCACTAGCATTTGCTCCCCACAGAGACAACTCGGAACCCAGTGCCTTCTGCCAGCAGGGAGCCATGGCCTAGAGTCCTGGTGGAATCCCAGGTGAACACGCGCAGCCCGACAACCAGGGAAACACAGTAAGACCAGGAGAGGGGTCATCAGACCCGTCTTTCCATGTGGGGTGTGGACCCACCTTGCAGAGACTAAGCCCCTAAGTGATAGTCACAGCCTTGAGACGCATGAACAGGAGAGAGCTGGCTTTAGCTTCCTCAGAGGCCAGGACTGGTTCAGGTGGAGGTGAAAAACCCCCGTGAGGTACCCGGAAGACCAACCCGAGCCAGAAAACCTGGGCAAGAGCTGCTCTCCCTAAACCCTAGTAAAGAACAGCCTAAAGACACAAGATGCTGCAAGGGACCGGACCTGAGCTCTAGGTCAGCTTCCCTCCAGCAGTCGCGGTGGCCTTGGTTACCCTGTCTGTAAAATGGGCCCAGAAGGAGTTAAGCTCCCACCCTCTCTCCCCTTTCAAAGGAAAAGCAAAAGAGGAAATGAGAGAATTTCAATTGTGTCATAGCCAAAGGAGCTGTTCCTGAAAACCTTAGCCGATCCCCTTTCCCTGGTGGCAGGCAAGAGGCTGCAAACCGGAAGCCAGCAAGCCTCGGGAGAGCTGCAGCTAGAGCTGGGATCTCAGGCCAGCCCTTCCTCTGCTAGACCGCACCCTGCCCTACCCTCCTCAGAGGTGAGCTCTGGAAAAGGCAACACCTTCCATGGGCCTAAATGGAAAGGGAGGTCCTCCCCCTCCTCCACAGAAATAGCCTGTGATGAGCAAAGACCAGTGCAAAGCCTTCTGTATGTCCCCCCAGTTTTCAGGTTCAAATCAATGAGCGGACAGGCTCTGCGGGGAAGTGCAGGCTGGAAGAAATTGCAGGGAGGAGGGTGGCAGAAAGTCGCCAACGAGAGGATTGAAAAGGACTTCCGGAATCAGAGCCTGGGACTGTGTCCTCCTCTACGGCATGATCTCTTCTGCCTCCCAGGGCAGCAGAGGCTCAAGTCTCAGGGCCGCTGACCAGGAAGGTCCCTCCACCGATCCCTGGGCCTTTGCCTCTGAACTCCACTACAAGGAATGCCACCCATTGGCAGGTAACTTGTCCCCTGAAGCCAGGCCATTCCACCCAGGGCTCCGGTTCAGCTGGAATCTGCCCAGCGGGCCACTGGGAGCCTACCCCACCCAGCCTGGCACTGGACCCACTCCTTGGGGGCCTGGTCATAGGTCCCTCTGTGTGTGTAGGACCTGAGGCCACGCAACACAGGTGGCCCCACTGTGGTGAAAAGCACAGTCCATGGAAGACGGACCTGGCACCACTATCTGCTTACTCGATGTCTGACTACCTCGCTTCTCGACACTTCCCTTAGCCTTCACATCTGTACATAGGAATAGATGGGCCCATGTTGCAGGGTCATGTGAGGACTGAAGGGAAGCAAGTCTACAAAAGCACTGAGCTGGCTCCTTAAAAGAATAGTCCCCTTTCCAAGTACCTTTCTCCCTTCCCTTTAGACCCCAAGGGCAGGGGCTGGGCCAGGCTCCCAGGGGGTCTCCAAGGAGTCAGGCCCTGGCGAATTCTTCCCCTCTCAGAAGACCAGCTGGGATGGGCACCGGGGCACAGGCTCCTCTGTTCCCTGAGCACTAACGCTGCCCCTTTGCCCCACACCCCAGGTCCAGCCTTGTTCAGACGGAGAGCTGAAGCAGGCTGGGAACCTCAGCTGCCCATCTACAGCCTGAGCCCTTTTCTTAAAAACTGTTATGTCAACTGTCACCTCGCCTGGAACTTTCTGCCCTAAGATCACGGCCATATATTTGGTCCACCAGCAAAACCCAAGCTGTCTGCACACACTAGGATCCAAGCCATCTGACACATTCAACAACATGACTGCATCATGTTTTGCCTGTTAAACAAACCAGCCCTCAGCCTACACTGCTTCTGCGTGAGCTGGTGCTGCAGCCTGGGGTGTCCTGGCCCCAGTGGAGTACAGGGTGAGACCCAGCTTACCACCTACTAGCCACAGAGTCTCGGGCAAGCTATTTCACTCCTCTGTGCTTCAGTCGGCTCTTTTACAAGATCGGTGGGATTGCTGGGAGGATTAAATGAGTTTATTCCCATCAAGGGCTGAGAACCACACCTGGCACAAAGCGTTTCATGGGGTTAGCTATCATGACCATCCTTGCTTTGTTTTTCAAAATTCAGCTCACCTCTTCAGGGTGCTCTTCTTGACCCCAGCCCCTCCCTGGGTCAGAGCTACTTCTTCCTCCCTGTTCCCCAACCCCACACTGCTTACCTATCAGCCCACAGGCAGCATGGTCCTGGGATCACCTGTATCACATACACGTATTAACAGTGCTAATTCCGGGGCCCCTGAGGTTGACTGGGGGTGGGCGGGAGGGCAAGAGTATGCATTGCTAACAGGTTCCTTAAGGGGTTCTCAGAGACACACACGTTTGAGAACCGCTGCTCTGGGCCGTCTTATCACCATGGTACAGGCAATGCTTGGCCTATGGGAGCTGTCCCGGGCAGTGGTGACCCACCTGGGCTTGGCTCTGACAGCATCAAATATACTAGGCCCCCAGTCCGGTTCCTTGGGCCTTCTCCGAGCCCGTGCCCTGTGCCCAGCCTCTGCTGACCACACACTATTGCCCGCGGGACTGCCTGCCCACTTCTGCTGGGGGCTGAAAAGCCATCGAGGGCTTCCAGGGAAGCTGCAGACCGAGGAGGCTCCACTTTGAACCCAGTCCCTAACATAGCGAGCAACCCACAAAACCACAATGGAAGGAAAAAGAAAGGCCAAGCAGAGCTATCACCCTTGTTTGGAATTTACTCTAGAAATAAAACTATGCACCAGTCCCACCCTGACTAGGAAAGAAGGTGGTCAGGCAGGCGTAGAAGTCCCAGAATGCCTTGGGGGAACCCTTCCTACAGAGAAGCCACTGGGCACACACCAGGCCTGTGGCAGGGACTGGCTGAAGAGGGTCTGGCCTCAGAGCCTAAAGAGGCCAGGCCTGCTCCAAGTGAGGGGTCAAACTTCCCTGGCACAGGGTTGGGCTGGGTGGAGGGCTGCTGGAGCTCCCAGCTTAGGGGAGTGGGCTCTGTAGGGTCCTGCCCTCTGTCCAGCGACCTACTCAGTCTGCCCCAGGCCAGCCCACTGTGGAGGTGGGAGGCAGAGGGCTCGGCTGGCTTGGAGCCTCCGCTGCAGTGGAAAGCCTTCTTGGACTCGCTGGTCGTTCTGGGCCTGGGATGAACAAAGCCAGGAGACCTGAATCTCATCCATCAGAGCCCCTGAGTTTACGATAACCAATCTCTGCCAGAAATTCTTTTGCTAAGAACACCTTGGCTCTTAAACACTCACTCCCGCCCCCTCCGCACCCCCCACCCCCCCATGTTCCGAAAACTCTCCAGCCCTGCTGTAGATGCTGGCCTGATGCTGATGACCAGTGTTCCTTGGGGTTGGCTCAGCCCCCAAAACCCCTCAGGGTAGAGGTCCGAGTGCCCCTCGGCAAGGCTGGACCTGCCCGAATGCATCTGTCAACACAAATACACCCTCTCCCTAACACGACCAGGGAGGGCAGCGCCTTCCTCTGGCCCTCATTTCTAGATGGTCTGGGAGCCAAAGCAGGGGTGAGTGCTGGTGTCAGAGCTGCAACTTTGATCTCCTTAAAGGTGACACCACTGGGAGAGGGAAACAAAACGAAACAAGCAGACAGCAGGGCCAACAGATGGGGAAGCAAAGGGTCAGGTTTTCCCACAAAATTAGTTACAAAAACAACTTTTGGTTTTCAGAGTTTTTTGGAGTTCACAATTTTGGATCAAGGATTGTGGGCCTGCACCACCAACAGTAACAAAGTGTAAAAGCTGGGTCCCACCTTCATTCCCAGCTTCTGGTTCCACGTTCCTACCCCTGCAGACCAGACCGCGCCAGTGTCCACCTAGCACAAAGAAAGCACACACACAAGGTGCACAGAGAAGACGAAGTGAATCAACTCCTATCACCAGCCTTTTTTCTCCAAAGAACAGCTACTAACGTTATTGCTGAAAAACGTAGCAAAGCGTCTGTCTGCTCCAGGGGCACAGAAGAGTCCACATAAATGAGTCATTTTTCCAACTCCATTTACTGGGGACAAGGACCATAAAACTGTTTTCTGGTCACTGTTGCTGCCTGATAGGCACATAGGTGTTTGCGGGGAGTAGGTGAGTAACCGGTAGCAGAAACTGAAAACCCATGATTTTTTATTTTTCCTCATATACATTCCTCAGATCCTCCCGATGGCCCACGTTTCATTTGGAAATCTAAAATAATTTATCTCATCACAAATTCCTAACAGTTAATTAGAAAAATATACAAATATACAAATTGGATAATCTGGCTTCAGATGTTCTAATTATACTCATTGGGGGTGGAAAAAACAAAAAAAAAGTTACATATAATTTAATAACTTTCAAAACAGTGTAAAATATCCAGAAAGTCTAAAGTATAAGGTTAAAAAAAATTATCCAGAAAGTCTAAAGTATAAGGTTAAAAAAAAATTATCCAGAAAGTCTAAAGTATAAGGTTAAAAAAAAATCATCTCAAACCTTAAGATAGTGACAATGAAAGAATGTCTTAATACACACTATCTACACACAGACGTACCACCTCCTGTCAAATGCAGCACTTCCGCATTAAAGGGTAATAGCTGAAAACATTTCAGCAATAACACATGTCCTGGAATTAAGTGGATTTTCCTTCTTTTTCATGCACCACGATATTAGCATTCTGAAATGTCACCCCCTCTATTTCTTAGTCGGGCCCTCCTGTGAATGACTCCCACAGGTTTCCTCAGCGCCTGAGATTTCTGAACCCCAAATTGGGAAAGAGGTTCCGGACTCCACAGGTGAGCTCTGCCTAACCCTGGCACTGGGCAGATTTCGAGAAGGGGTTTTACTCTGTGACTGGGAAATGATTTTTAGCCCGCCTGACACACGGGACTGAGTCTCGGGGTAAGAAGAGGGGATGGCTATGTGGGGAAGGGACCTGTCATAAGGCAGGGCATTCCTCCCAGTGCCAAATGCCCAGGAGGTCTGTCTAGTGAACATGAGCAGGGACCAGGGAAACCCTCACAGCCGCTGAGAGCTGCCCACACCTCCAGGGATTATATTTAGTCAGGGCTGCCTGCCCTACCAGTCAAGGCAGAGAACTGTCACCTGCGGCTCTGCCACCAAGGTGGACGTGTGCTGGGACACCACCACTCTTGGCGCAAAGGACACAGCACCCTCTCTGGCATTTCCTCCAGCCCTCTGCAAGACACGTGCTACCCATCTGACTGACACACTTCATCTGCAGACCAGGCGGAGGGACCACGCTGGGCACTTATCTCCTGGGCGGAGGCAGGGCTCCACTGACACTGGTCTGGCCGCCAAGTTAGTTTCACTTTCTGGTTGGTTTCCCCGGGTACGTCTCTCTCACCCTGATGGAAGAAAATGTCTTTAAATGCCGAGGGAGAAAATCCTCAAAAATGCTTCTTGTTGTTTTTTTTTTTTCTGAGGACACTGTTTTCCTCTGAAGACTGGGTTAACAGGCTTTGGTGAAAACCCTAACTACGTAACTTCGGTCCCCCGGGCTGCTTAGTCTAATATGATTACACATCTAAATGCAATAAACGGGCCAAAGTGGTATTATTTTTCTGGGAAAAACCAACATCATAAAAGGGTCTTTATTGAATCAAGGGCCCGTGAACTGTTCCCTTGCCTAATTATGGCTCCCAAGTGAAGGAGGCTGGGTTTCCAGGCAGGACGCCTCACAACACCCCAGCCCAAAGGGCAAAGGGATGTTTGTCACGACTTGTCTCATGACAAGAAAATCCACCGAAAGGACAAAACGGAGGGTGCCAAGCAAGGTAGGTTGTCTGCAGCCCCCTCCTCCACTCAGGCTCTGGAAACGGGGGTGGGGTGGGGGGGGTGTTGGGTTCTAGGGCTTCTATTTTAAGGAGTAGCCCCCCTGCTCCATCCCCACCTCTATCATTCAAAGTCAGGATCCTAGATCCTGCCCCTGTCCACTGTCAATGCTTAAGTGGTTTTCTAGCACCCCGGCACTGCCCCCCTCAATCCCCATCTATATAGAAAAGGCCCATTGTCGAAATGTGATATTTTGCCAGATGGTTTAACATTCAGCGATCTGGCCAAGGTTAGCATGCGCCCAGACCTGAGCGACAATGAACGCTTGCTATCACCAGACACAGGAGGAGGGAGAGAGGGAGAAAGACTCAGGCCAGGGGAGGGTAAGCCCTCCACACTAACCAGCTGGGAGCAAGTGGTTGACTTTTCCCAGATATACAGTGGTCTGGCCAGGAAAGCTGGAGATCAATGTTTTGCTTCTATGTAAGCCCTGGTTCAAAGTATCTGCTTCATCGCCCTCAAAGTTCCAAGAGCAAGGACACATTTTCAAAATTTCCCCCCCCTCATGTTCTTAAGCTTACAACAGCAAGCTCGATAGAAAGAAATCCGAGAGAATGTTAGCCCGACTCTCCCACTGACCTGTCCCCTCAGGTGGGCTGAAGCAGTGATCACGTGAACCCACATGGACGTCTGGCTCCACCTTCACCCCCTTCCCCGCCTAGGTTGTACCAGGCATGTCTCCCTCAAAAAGTAGGTACACTCCCCTCCTTCTCCAGCATACACTGCAAGGAATTGCTTTTTTTCCCAGTGTTTTCTCCCCAGATATTAAGCCAGCAAGCAGGCTTGCCAGGCTCAGGTAGTCCTCCCGTGACCTCACTGGTGTTTCTTCACTGGCCCTACTGGCCCTGGGATGAACTGCAGTGTCACTTGAGACCAGCTACCACGTGCCCAGCGTTTTACACAGGCAATCTCATTCAGTTCTCGTAAAGCCCTACACAGTGTGCATGTTGTTATCACACACGGGGAAAATGAGTCTCAGGGAGGCACATCACTGGCCCAAGGTCACCCAGCTAGTCCACGGGAGAGCCAGCTTTCCAACCGCAAAGCCAACGCCCTTTCCCCAGCGCCTGCCTTAAGCAGGAAAGCATTTTCTGTCTTCCATCAGTCTCTCCTGGAAAGCCAGGTGCCGTCAGCCTATAAGCAGCTATGAGTTTAATTGTTTTCAGAAGGGTGGGGAAGGCGATCTACCTTATAATGGACACGGAGAGAGAAAGGACGATGTCTGAAATGTTAGCTTGGAAAGGCCAGAATTTAAGCCTCAGTCACCAAGAAGAAGCCCGTGTTTCCCCTTATACCCCCACACACCCCAGGGCAGAAATCCAGTGAGAGGAAGTGAGCTTCATGAGAATGAACCACAGTCTTCACGGGCTAATCCAAATTTCCCAGCTGCACATCTCTGAGTCCTTCCTCCAGCCCTCCAAACCACAGCCCCAAGTTCCAACCTTATGCCCTCCTCTGCGCCTCCTGGCTCAGAATCTTAGAAGATTCTACATGGGTGCACAGCGTATTCAGGCCGACCCCCTCCAGTTGACAGAGAAGAGGGCTCTCAGGCCCAAAGTGGCAGAGCTGAGATTGAAATCAGGCCATGGTTCTTTCCACACAGCACCTCCCTCCCCGGTTCCCCTGGGCAGCGAGCACTAGGGGTCTGGCTACAGGGTGATTTCAAAATTCCCTTGACTGTGCCAAGGGAAGGCGGGAGGGAGCCGTGCAGTGGGTGAGAAGTCACCTGCTCTGTGTCCCTCTCTCTGTCCTGCCCACACCAGTTAGGACTACTCAAGGCTCTAAAGCACTGAAAAGATTATGGTCTATGTCCAACTCCAGTTTGAAATTCAAAATAAAAACACTGAGCCATAAAAAAGCATAAGGAAGTCCAAGAAAATTCTGATTTATTTTTTCTCCCCATGATGATCACTCTTGAGCATTTTTTGGGGGTATATCAAATGACTTCCTTTCCCTTCCCCATTTTGATTTTATCCCCTGCTTGACTGGTCCCACTAGACTGTGCTTAGCTTGCCCACTGGGTCAATGAGCATGCAAGCCAAGAGCAGCTGTGGCAATCCCTTTCCTGGGGACCTTTCCTGAAACATGCTCAGTGTCAGAACTGGAGTCTTTGGGCCTTTTGGTCTGGCTGCACTGCAGAGCAGATGTGCTAGGTGGCCACATCTGCACACCCAGGGTTCCTTTAAGGACTCTGTGCTGGCTAATCCAGGCCCCTCCACCTCCTGCTCCACAGCTCACGCTTGTTGGCTCCCAACCTGGTAGGCTCTGCTGCACCCAGCAGGCTAGCCATCTGGCTCCTGTGGCACCAAAGGCAGCTGTGGGGTCCTAGGGGAGCCTTTCCCCTCTGAGTCTCAGCCTCAGCTACCACAAGTGGACTCACAACACCCCTCATCTGCTCTCAGAGCTGGGGTACAAATCCGAATGGGCAACGAGAAGCCATCCTGTCTCACTCACGGTTGGATCCCCAGCCTGGCCCAGTCCCTGGCACATGGTTGGTGGACAGTAAAAACTGGAAGACTGAGTCTCAGACAGGGGAAGGGGTTCCTAGACCTTATCCGAGCCTTATGATGACAAAGCTGCTGTTGCTAGTGGGTTGGGTAACTTACCTAAGGCCACATGCTAGCAAGCAGTAGTCTCACAAGACTGAGGTCTCAGTCACTCCGCACCCTTCTCACCAGCACGTATACACAGGCCGACTGAAAAGAAGATCCGAGGAGATGCGGACTACCAGTCAAAGGTCCACTGTTGTGTGCCAGGCACTGTGCCTACATTTTCCATATAAGCCTCACCACAAGCTTACAAGGTAGGTATCATAACCCTCATTCACAAGGGAAGAAATGGGCACAGAGAAGTTACTTGTCAAAGGCCACCCAGCTGGCAAGTGGCAGTTAGGACTCCCAGTCCAACACATCTGGACCCAAAGTCCATCTTCATGGCCCTCACCCTGTGCTGCCTGAAGAAAAATCCTTCACGGAACCCAAACTGACTGACCCCTTGCTTCTGAGACAGCTCTTTCCTAGACTTGTCGCAGATTAGGAGTGCGGTTCTTTTGTGTAAAAGAACTGAGACAGGCCAAATATTTACCATCCCATGCAAGAAAGCTGCAAACTGGCCCAGCAACAGAATCAGCTCTGGGCAGGAGAGACAGCCCAGCTGTTGTTACACCAAGTAGGGGACAGAATTCTGACTCGGAGGGTACAGACATCTCGGAAAAAGAGGCAGTGAAGAGAACTTGGGGAAGCAGCTCAGAGGGCACCCCTCCCCCCCAAAAATATTTCCTGACCAACCAGTGGAACTCTGAAGAGATTTCTAAGTATCAGAATTTCTGGAGTTGCGAAGATTTCGGGGTGGAGATGAGAGGATCCACTTGCTTTTCCCCACACTTCCCTCGTCAATCCAATCCTGCTAGACAAAAATTGATCTCTAATTTTTCATAGGTTGGGATTTGATTTTTCTTACCAAAAAAAAAAAAAAAAGCTACAAGGACAAGGTTAATTATTCACCAGGTTGCAATTTACTTAAGAGTTGAGAGAATGCAAGTAGGCAGAACTGGGAGTCCACTTGGATTTCAGGAGTCTTCTGTGGGTCTGCCTGAGGGTCTGGCTAAAATCCTTCCCTCTCACCAGCTTTCCACCTTGCAGTTAGCTGCGTCCTGAAGCCGGCTCTTGGGCAAAACAAATCTGACTTCTCCCAGCCTGGAGGTACCCAGCTTAGAGGAATGGATTCGAGTAGGGGTGAAGGGGAGGAAGAGGCTTCTGCTCCAGGAAACTAGAATTCAAAAGGGACCGCAAAACCAAAAAGCTCTCAACTAAAACGCAATTCCTAAACACAACGGCTTAAAACAAACTGGCTGTGGGAGGCAAGACCTGCAGGCTACTGATTCAAACACATTTTGCAAAGGAAAAATCCCAAGAAGGAAAAACCTAATCGCTCACTTCCCCCAAAGAATTTTCGTGCCAATGCGTTTCCTAAAAATCCCTAAACCCCTAGTCTGCCCCAGAACAGAGGTCGGCAAACTTTTGAGACGGAAGGGCCAATCCTGTCCCTCACAACAATTTAAAAATGATTCAAGAGCCATAAATATATTTTTACAAATAAGGAAAATTTAAAGTAATATTATAACAAGTAATATTATTAATAATATCTTTAGTAAAATAAGAAAACTTCACACATGTACATACCCAAAGAGTCGCATGTGGCTCAGGAACTGCAGTTTGCCAACCCCTGCCCCAGAGGATGGGGTACAACCTTAGGGAAAACTGCCTGTCTCCTGGACCAGGCCTGGGGAGGCCGGGGTGTTGCAGGCTCCTTATGCCTTACTTCCAGAGATTTATGTGCCTTGTCCCCACGCCTGTCCCCTTCAAGGTGGTGCATCTCAGAGCTCCAGCCTAATTCTGCGGGTGCTTTATGACCACGAGATATTCTAGAGATTTCCACTTCATTTACTTTAAGATACTAATCCCCTGCCTGGGCAGGTAGAGGCATAGGTTCAAAGGGAGAATTTTCTTTTCCCAACCTGATTCAGTACTCTGAAGGGAGCCTTTTCCTTAATGAGGGCAAGGCCTCCCTTTTGAAGCTCCCACCAGTCCATTCCTAGATGATTTTGCCTCAAAACTGAGAATTTGTCAATAGGCATGTACATGTAGATCCATGGCCAAAGAAACTCTTTTCTCCCATAATTCTGGCGTCTTCACGTTACACTGACTACAGCCTTGCAGGATAAAGCTCACACTGAAAAAATGTGGGCCAATTGCAGTGCAGGGCTGTTCCCTCTCCCGGGCTCACAGGCCCAACTAACCCTGCTTTGGTGACCCCACAGCCCATGGGGCTCCCCTCTACCTCCCTCCATTCAGGCCCCCACATGGCCACCAAAACAGGGACTGAGGTGTCTAAGGATTCCTGCAAGGTGTACTCTATACTAGCCCACAGCAGTCCACGGAAAAACCTTCCCGAATAGGTCTTTTGCACAACTTTGAGAGAGGTGGGCCAGCCAGGCTGGGCTGTTTTTTCCCTTTCCCTCCTTCCTGCTTCTAGAAGCCTCTCCTGTTTTCCAAAGCCAGGAAGACGGGGGGCTCAAGGCGCCCTATTTTGTCACCTTGCCCTCACTCAGTTCTGGTCACCTTACTCTGTGTTCCCAAATGTTTTTCCAAGACCCCACTGCCAAGACAGCCAAAACACAACACAAACAAATAAAAATTAAAGTTCCAACACGAAGCAAAACCCAGGTGTCAGGGGTTGGTGGGTTTTTCTTTTTCCAGGGGGGGAGTAGAAACAAAGTTATTGAATAGAGGGTTTAAGAAAGGAACCGCAGCATAAAACTTGAAGAGGACTCAGAGCAGGTCAATTATTATGTAGCATATGTCAAGGAACAAAAGACCCGCCATTAGAAACACACCCACAAAGATGCATCTTTAAAGAAATGGGGGGGGGGGAGTAACAGGGGCTTCCCTGTCCACAGGGGCTGAATCTCCGTGCGTCGCGTCAAGAGCAACTCTACAAATCGGGCGCTCCTCCTCACCCCCAAGCTCAAGTTTACCATTCTAGAAAGCGCAGCGGGGCAGGCCCGGGTAGGCGAATGGGCTCAACCCACAGGAGAGGCGAGCTGTCTCTGCCCTCACAACTGGTCTGCCCTGGCAGGGATCCCCCCTCCGGAGGACACGGACCGCGCTAAGTGACCGACTCAAATTTCGGAGCACGTCCCCCGTGCTCCCGCAAAACGCAGGGATCCCTGGAATCTCCGCATCAAGCCCGGGGTGAGCATGCTATGCCACCCCCTCTCCAGTGTGGACCCAGGAGGTGGCTGTTGGGCCGGTGTCCATGTCCCCGCCTGGGCGCTGAGCTCGCGCGGGCCGGGAGAAAGCCGGCCGGGAGCTCGGAGGAGCCGCCGGTCCCGGGAGCCGAGGACTGGGACTTTGTAGGCCAGTTGAACTGACACCCTCATCTCGCCCGCAAAGACCCAGCCCTCAGCTCCCGCGCGTCTCGTTGTTCGGGGTGCGGGCGCGCCCCGGACGGTTTCCATCGGGCTGGGTCCGGCTGCCCGCTTTCCACAGCGCGCTGCTCCGCCGACGCTCTGGGTTTTCCCCAAGCGGCGTCCCCAAAGAAGACACCCACCCCACCCGACCTCAGCCCGCGGGCTCCGAAACCAGACCTGGAAGGGTTACACGATGCTCGAAGCTCAGCGTGTGGTGGCTTCCAGGCCACCTCTAGCCGCCCCGCGCAGGCCAAGGGAAGGGGGTGGGGGAGGTGCGGGGACCTAGCCTCCCCCCCCTCACCCTCCAGCCAAGCACCAGAGTTACACTAGAAACTTCTCCACAATCCCACGCCGCGCTCTCGAGGCCCAGCTCGGTGCTACATCGGTTACCTGCGCTCAGATCCGCGGGGCGCAGGGCCCGGCTGAACGGCCTCCCAATGCAGGCCGCGCCACCGCCGGGGTTGGGGGGAGTCACTGCGAGCCAGGCCCTGCGCCCCGACGTTCCCCGCGCCTTGCGCGCTGTGAGCCGGAGCCCTGCTCGACCTTCCCGGGACCTAGGGGCCGCGGCCGCCCCTGCCCCAAGAAGGATAAGCCTGGTGCAGCTGGGACAGGAGCGACATGTCGCGACCCCTCGAAAGTTGGGGGAGTTCCGCTCACTTGCACGGCCCGAGCTGGCTCCACGTGCTGGTGACACATCAGGAAGGCTCCGCACCCCACGGCTCCTGGCGAGCGGACTCTGCCAGCGCCCGCCCGCACCACCTCTGGAGCCAAAAGGACGGCGCCCCGCCCCGGGCCCGCCCTCCGCCAGCCCCTCGGTGGCGCCACCCGCTCCAGCCTGCGGCGCCCGCACCAGCCTGCGGCGCCCGCACCAGCCTGCGGCGCGGGCAGGAAGATACCAGGGCAGGGGTTGGGTGGCGGCCTAGGCGCCTTCTCCCAGGCTGCCGAAGCTGCCCCAGGGATAGGGTACGGGGACAGGCAGTCCGACTCGACAGTCTCCAGTGCCTTCCTCCCAGTCACGCAGCCCTTCCCGCCTCCGAGCTCCAGTAATTTTCCCTTTTCCTCCTCTGACCACTCCGAGACCCGAGCCGCTGCCAGCGCTTCCTCCCGCGCAGGCCAGCGCAGAGAGCCCCCTGCCGGCCGCTCCATTCCCGGGCCGTGTCCCCACCCCGGGGGAGCGCTTCTGCAGCTGGCCTCAACCTTCGCATCTGGGACCCGGAGCCAGCCAGGCCCTTCTTGCGGGGCTTTGGTGACAAATCAACGAGATAAATGTAAAACACCAAGCATAGTAGTACCAAGCAGCATGCTTCCGTTCCCCAGTCTAGCTGCCTGCAGACAACCTCTCTTCCTAGCTGTGTTTCCCGAAAACCCGAGTTTCTTTAGGGGGTCTGTGGGGAGGATGGGGGGGGGTACTGAAACGATGCGAGACTGAGGGGTAGGTTTCCTAAGATTGGAGAGGGATCGGAAGTTAGTAGAATCCCCTTTCGTGCCGATCTACTGCTCCTCTCTCTCGCTCACTCTCTCTCTCTCTGGAGACGCCAGGACGCCCGGGAGTAACTAACTGCCTGCCTCGTCTGAGACCAGTCTGGAGTATCCATAGGCCTCTGTCAACATCCCCATCCTCAAGGTGGCCAGAGACCATGGAAGAGGGAGTGGTGGGGAAGCCGGAATAACAACTGAGATTGAGTTCCCCTGCCTCTGTCAGATGGAGCCTTGGAGTTAGATTTCATTTAAAGAAAATAATGAGGTATATCTGTTTGTGTCCTGACACAGATATTGGCTATGTCCCTGTCTTTTCTTTCCTGGCTTCACCAATCCAAATCATTTCTTAAAACCTCACTGCTGTGGGAGTTGAATGGTTTCTCTGCTTAATTTGCCAGCTCCCCCCACATGGAGATCCCAGGACAGAGCAGCTCCCAGAGGGATGGAAGGCAGAGGTGCCCAGGGCAGGCCGCTGGCCCAAGCCTCTGTAATCCCCATTTTGTGGGAGCTCAGGATTAGAAAGGAAGAAAGAAGAAGATGGCCTGACATTGCTGGTGATGCTGCGGGTGCTGGAGGGGGCCTGGGGTTCGAGCTCTGCTTTCTCTTCCCCTTTTATTGCTCTCTCTAAATTTGACAAACCCTTTGGCTCTCTGAGACTCGAGGAGCCTGGAGGAGCAGTGTCCTGGGGGGATGAAAGGGCAGCGATGTAATGGGTTTACCCCAGCGCTGATCTCAGGGAAGGCTGCAGAAGATTAAGATTTGCTCCCTGAGCTTGAAATCTCCCTGCTACCCCCTGACTACATCAAAGGACATGGCTGTGGGGGGCACTTAATCCCATCAATGGAATCAAAGCTGGACAAGAAAGGAAATTCTGCAAACTTGGTGCAGTGGCAGAACACAGCTCACAAGAAAAAGATATATACTAAGGCCCTAGCCTCCTCCTCCCAAGAAAGATCCTGAGCCATTTACAAGCAGACAGGGGCCTGTCCTTTGCTTTTTGAGGTAGCCACCGTGGGAAGGTCAATTACAAGAACTCAGAAAGCTGGGCAGTGGACTGGGCCTACCTCAAGGGGCAGAAAGGGACCCTGAGGGTTTGGGACTCATCCGTGTCTCACAGTGCCGTTGGACCCCAGCTTTACTCTGAGATAGCGCTTTCACAATCATGCTTCTTACCACCAGTGTTTCCCAAAGTGCGGTGTTCAGATTTAAGATGAATTTAGTTAAAAAAAAAGAGTAATATATATTTTTAAATGTAAATTTCATGACGAGTATTGTTATGATGTGACGAAAATGGTTAAAATGAGCCAACCCAAAGGCAAGTATTTAGTAAATAATAAAAGTGGTATTCTGATATGGCAAAATGGTGATAATGGTAGGCAAATTTCGAAAGTTAGAAGAACACTCCTTGTGACCATCTTGAGAGAAACACTGCCTTAGAACAGTCACTTTCAAACTTTCATTTTTGCCCCATGGTAGAAAATACCTAATGTGGATAAAAAGTGTCTTATGAAACAAATCTTGTGCACTCAAATATGTTTATGTTATTCCATTCCGTTCCATTAAAAATGCTGCTTGCAAACTGTTAAATTTATTTCATGATCCTCTGATGGGTTACCTCCTGAAATTTGAAAAATACTGCCTTAGAGAGCATGCCGTGGTGATGATGATGGCGGCTCTCAGTTAGTGAGAAATGTCTAGGTGCCAAGGCTGGGTGCTAAGAGCTTCTCCTTACACTCTCACAATGACCCGAGGGTGTAGGTATTATTATTCCCCACATTTTACAGGTGAAATTACTTGCCGGGATCACACAGACAGCAAGTGCAGACCTGAGACCAGCCCCTCTCCACCCAACTCCTCCCTTGTCTAGTGCACTTTCTACCAGCTGTCTCTTAGTGAATATCTCAAAAAGGCCCAGTATCCAGCGCATCCGTGCCCTTCCTACAATGTACAATAGTGTACCTCTCCAAGTTTGCCCCCTGGCTTCTGTCCTTTTTGCATCCCTCCATCAAAGACCCCCAGGAGTCAAGCTCCTTAGCAAGCTGGCTTCAGAGCCCCTGAGGTGGGGCTGGGGTGTGACATGAACAATCTTAATGTCCCAGCCACCCTGCCAGGTGCTGCACACAACCATCTCTGTGGCTGGGAGGGATCAATTTGCCTTGGGGACAAAATTCCACAGAGTTGGAGACGCTGACCTGTTCTCTGGCTTCCCTCATTCTAGATTCTTCTCTAGGCCTTCCCTGGCTACCCTATTTTAAATTGCAGCCCCCTTCCCCATCACTTCTTATCCCCCAACCAAGCTTGTTTCCCCTCCATAGCCCTTGTCTCCTTTACTATGCCACGTATTTTACTCATTTCAGTATATTCTGTCTCCCTGCTGCTGATCTCTGCCTCCATCTCCCAGAATGTAAGCTACCCCCTGCCCAAGGCAGAAATTTTTGTCTCTAAAGTACACTACGGTATCCCCGTACCTGGCACATAATGTATACTCAGTAAATATTTGCTGAGAACCCAGCTTTGCCATTACTGGATGGGCTTGGCTGCCCCAAACCCTCCCCAGGGCCCCCCCCGCCGCCCCCGGGGGGCCTGAGCTACACAGACAGAAGCACTCCCCCTGAAGCCTGTTGATTTCACCAGTTTCCTCTCAGGCAGTGACCACAACCCCCAAGGGCAAGAGGGCCAACATTTACAGTGACATCCGATGGCCAAACCGTTCAAAGTATTTAATATCAACACCACGGTACAGTATTGATTCTCTGCTTATAATGACCACCTGCCACCATCTTTAGCAACGCGATAAAGTGCTGTGAAGTGGAAGGGCAGGATGGAGAACCCCTATTTTACTGATACGGAAATTGGACTTGGGAGATGAAATGATTTACCCAAGGTCACTCGGTACTGAGCCCTTTCCACTCAGCTGCCTCCTCAGGACCATCCAATCACTTCTACAGCCATGATTGTGCGGGCCTCTTTTTCGGCTTCCTGACATCGGCCAGAAAGAACTCTGACGGGCGACACAGGGATCCTGGTGACCAGAGGGAGAAAAGGGCTGCACATAACCCGGAGTATTTTGTGTGTGACTATGGAATTAATGGACCTTGTTTTCTCAGAATATTTTGCTCAAATGGCAGTTTACATGGATTTTGTTTTTCTCGGCCCAGATGGCTAGGACAGGAGAGCCCTAGAGCTCAGGGGAAAGACAGGCTGGGCATGAACTCTTTCCTGCAGAAAAGCCACACTGGGATCACTGGTCTTATCAGCATTTGGGGCCTGTTTCAGTTCCTGACTCCTGTGCAATCTTTGATAAGTTATCTCTGCCTCTGGGCCTTTGTTTCCTCACTGGCAAAACTGGAATGTGATTTTTCCCTGTGATTTCTTCCAGCGTGACTCTTCCATAACTGTAGGAAGAAAAGTTTGACTTGGTTGTTGTTGTTGACCTTCATTTATTCAGCCAACATATCCGAAGCCCCTCTATCTATCTTGGTCACATGAGAAGACACATCCCTTACACTCAAGAAACAGGAAAG